GGGGGGAGGTGTATCTGAATATTGTGTTAGGGAAAGTCCCCAAACTTACGGGTGTGCCTCAGTTAACAGTTTTTGTCAGTAGACTGACTGAAGAAAGTCTGGGATTGGGGGTGCAGAAGACAGTGTGCCCATGAATGGAGGTGGGTAGGTGCGAGACGATGGGATGCATTTGAACGTTCCAGGTTCACTAGCCCTATGTTCCCAACCTAAACCTTAAGCAAGTTGTTCAGCAAGGGGCCTTCTTGTTTCTGAATGATTTATGGTGGAATCTTGCAAAGATCAAAATTGGATCGCATTTAGTTAAACATTTCATAGGCTCCTTTATTGGAAAGAATAAATGGATATGAAAATCTGGAGTGATGGGAAGTGGATCATGGGGATGGGGATACCAGGGCTTATGTGAATTGGGGAGGAAGCGGGGAGAACAAGCCCCTTCAAGATCCATGTAGTCTGGCTTCATCCCACCCCAGTCCTGCCTGATCAGTTGTGCTATGAGGACCTGATAAGGACTGCTTCTCCAAGAAACGGGCCCCTAAGACAAAGCTGAAAAAGGCCAAGAAAGAATGAATTAAGAGCATGCAGTTCTATGAATGGATGAATGGAACCAGCACTCCTGAGTGAGCACGAAAGGGACTATGAATAAATGAATCAGTGAATGGATGAGAGTACACAATCCCTCATTTTCTGTAGCAGACTCCCCCGTGATAGCCATGCTCTGTGCCTCCTCATATCCTGTCCTCTTTATTTATACAAACACAACCACACCCCTCAGTCTGCAGTGTGGGAGATGCCTCTGGCAGGGACATGTGGGAATACACCTGCAGAGCTGAAGTCCAGATTCCAAAGCAGCATAAAGCCAGTCCTGCAGTGGGTGAGAGAACAAGAGGGGCTCCTGACTGACTGCATGAGCAGGCTGGGCACAACCCCTGTCCTGTATCCTTAAAGACAGAAGGAGAAACTATCTTCCGTAGACTTTCCATTGTCGATCCCTTGGAGTGGGGACAGGGAAGGGCTGGGAGCACCATGGCTTCCATAGTCCATGGCCTTTAGACGCCATGTGTATGGAAAACTTCTTCCCTTGACTCGGAGCCAGGCATGGTCCATGCTCGCTCTGGTTGTGCCCTGCTCGAGTCAGCATCAACCAAGCAGTTGTTCCAAGGTGCATTTCTCCTCAGTTCATCCTTACACGAGGTAGATGCACAGAGGGGTTAGGTAAGTGGTCCAGGACCACACAGGAGCATCAATCTGTGCTCCTCTCCCAAGCTGCTTTCCCTCTCCAGCCTTCCCATCTGTGAACTGTGCCGCCTGCTGTGAGTGACCTGAGAGGCCTGATTAGGGGAAGAGTGGTGTGGGTTCCCTCCAGGCTAGCATCTTCATTCAACCTAAATTCCTGGCTTGTAGATACCTGAGCCCACAGTGCCAAGCTCAGGCCTAGCCATGGGATGGTCTGTCCTAGGAACTGTAGAACTGTGAATGGACACAGCAGGTTTGTGAATGAATGAGCCAACTGGTTAGTGAGGACAGCAACCTGGCCGCAGGGGCATAAAGAATAGACAGTAGACTCCTAGGGCTGGCCCAGGTGGCCTAAAGAACAGGTACCATACGGAACCTGCTGCCAGAGTGTGCCAGCATGTGTGCCCATAGCAGACAGTTATGAAGACCCCTCCTCTTCTGGAAGCTCACAGGCTGGGCAGGAAGAGGAGAGTCACACAGAGAAGCCAGAAGAGGGACTGCTGACTGTGGGGCAGGGAGAGTGGGCTAGTCCAACAGCATGGCTCCCCTGAAGTAGAAAGGGTAGGAGAGGATGACTGCATAGGGAGGATGGGAGATGAGAACAGAGAGGAAGCCAGGAAATGAGAAACCAGAGAAGGAAGGAGCACGTGCGAAGCCCAGGAAAGCTGAGAGGAGCCGGGTGGGCACAGTGCAGAAGCACAGACGCAGGAAACCTGGTTGGCAGGGGAAGCATAGAGGCTACAGGGCCTTGGCAGGAGGCCAGAGACGCTTATGTATAATTTTTGAATAGTTTAAATAACTGTCTTTAATTTGGTAAGTACTTAGAATATTTTTTAAATTGAATTATGTTTTAACATATGTCATCATTAAAAAAAAAAAAAAGCAAACCCTTGTACCATTTCCATAGAAAGTCAGGATAAAATGACTAGACTAGAATAGAATAGAACCATAAAATAAGCACAAAGCGGGGCCAATGAGATAGCTCAACAGGTAAAGAACGACTTGCCTGACAAGCCTGACGGATCCCCAGGACCCATAAAGGCAGAAAGAGCTGGCTTCACAAATTGTCCTCTGACCCCCACATGCACACTGTGACTTTTACACACAGTAAGTAGCAGCAGCAGCAGTAATAATAAGAATACATGTTTTAAATGAAGCAAACAAACAAACAACCACAAAGAAAGCCAACATGTCTACTAGTCCTATCTGGACTCTGCCCCCCTTTACTCTATTCTAAAGGAAAACAAGGGCCTGATGTGGTCCAGTTAGCAGAGTGCTTGCCTGGCATGCTTGACCTCTGTCTTTAATCCCTAGCACTTCATAAAACAGCTGCAGCACGCCCTGCGAGTCAACACTCCAGAGGCAGAAGTAGGAAAATCAGAATGTCAAGGTTATCTTTGGCTACATAGGGAATTCAAGGTCGACCTCGACTACCTGAGACCCTGTCTCAAAAAAAAAAAAAATTTAAAAAAAGATAAATAGTATTCAGTATTCAAATTTGCCAACACCAAGAGGAGACTTCTGGCTCAGAGAGGGCTAAGTGGAACCTGGGGAGGGCACTGAAACCTGTTTGTGATTCAAAGTAGACCCTTGCCAGAGTCTACTAAGACTGTCTCCCTACAGAGGAGTGCAGGCCTTGACTCCACACCCCTCTGCTGGCAGCCCATCATGACTCTGGGCTTCTGTCTTGCAGGGAATACCAACAGCATCTTTGCCCTGGACTACATCAGCGGAGCTCTCACCCTGAATGGCCTGCTGGACCGGGAGAACCCCCTGTACAGTCACGGCTTCATCCTGACAGTGAAGGTGAGACCCTCCGTGTAGCTACCACGCCTCCTAGACAACTGTGGAGCCTGAAACCATCCCCAGGAGTTGGGCGTGTCCTCAGGAGGAGTCTGGTGGTTGTAAATGCAGGTCTGCCTGGCTCTTCACACACACTACCAATGCCTGCACTGGCTGGAACTTCTATTTCCCTTCTAGGGATGTTTCCTCAATTTAGCAAACAGCAGGCCTTAAGGGAAGGGGTAGGAGCTGAGCTCCCTACCTGGAAGGTGAGGAAGAAGTGCCAGCACTGTCCCGTACAGCTACCTGCCACTCATGGCCAGTTTTAATTGAAATCAATGGCTTGCTGAGCCATTCGCTGGAAAGGCTGTTTAGGGAATAGATCCTGGTGGGGAGGGTAGAAGGGGATGCCAAGCCCCAGGCATATATTAGTGGGGGAAGGGAGAAAGATAGGCAAGGGGCCTTGAGAAAGATCTACCCGGAAGGGTGGAGCACAGCAGGCCTTGTGTGGACCCTCTCGGCCTTGAAAGGCCTGAGTCAGCTGTGGACCTCTTGGCTCACATGCATCCCACATACACAAACACATGCATCATGAGGGCTCACCAGTCCCTTCCTTCTCCTGTGTTCAAGTACAAGTCTGCCAGTGAGACACGGAAACCTAGTCCCAGGCCCTTCTTCATGTTTTGCTTCCTCCACCCACGACCACCTCCACTTCACCTGGGGTAGCCTGAGTTCAGTGTTCCCACCTTCATACAAAATATTAGGTGAATGTGCCAGTTGGGCTGGGCATTTCTGTCTCTGGACCTGGTGGCAGACACTCCACACAGGTCTCCCTTAGACTGTGGAGCAGTAAACTGGGCTCAGAACTGGGCAGTGAGTACCCTGAGACTGGGGCATCTGGATTTTTTCTGCATCTAACTCAGCCCTTGCCTGGGCCCAGTGATGTTGGGACCACAGTGGGGCGCTGTTGAGATTTGCTCTGTCAATAGCGCATAGCAGACACCTTGGTTCTATCATCTTCTAAGCTGAGTGGACTTTCCCTGAAGCCCTCAGTGGATGTGAGGTCTCTCTGGGCCTCCTGCCCTCCTCCCTAATAGTTCCAGAATCCTATTGCCTGAGTTTGAAACCTACTCAGGTTCAAATTACCTCACCTCTATGAACCTCAGTGTTCTTATCTGTAGCATGGAAGACAGAGGATGGCCCCTTCTTCCTGGAGACCATGGTGGGGATTTAATGGGATAATTTTCGCTGACACACAGGAGGACGTCCTGACGGGTAATAGCTGCTTCTGTGACTGCAGATGCCTTCCTCTGTCTGCAGGGCACTGAGCTGAATGACGATCGCACCCCGTCAGACGCCACCGTCACCACAACCTTCAATATCCTGGTTATTGACATCAATGATAATGCCCCAGAGTTCAACAGCTCTGAGTACAGCGTGGCCATCACTGAGCTGGCACAAGTTGGCTTTGCCCTCCCTCTCTTCATCCAGGTGGTGGATAAGGATGAGGTGAGTTGCTGGGACTTGTGGCCTGTCTGCACTCATCTTCCCCGCCTGGTGTGTGCGGCACGAGGAGGGGAGCCAGGAATCTCTGTGATTTCTGGTAGTTGTGTGCCCTTTCCTGCTGTGTGATAGTCTCTGTGCTGTTATAGGCTGTCATCTACAGCCTGGAAAACACGTATGCTCACACTTCCAGGGTGTGAATATTTATATATTTCTTCACTGGACTGATTCAAGATGGACATTAAACACATACATAAAAATTTCCATTTTCCCAAATCACGCTGAAGTGCGCACCCCACACTCTGTCACCTTGAATCCTGCCTGGGACATGTGTACCTAGTGAGGAGGGTCTGTATAAGGGCTGACTGCTGATTTTGGTGTAATAGTTACCATTTTCCCACATAAGGACCTGCCTCCCTCTCACTAACTCCTGTTGGCTGTTTCCAGCTAGACAGTCACACACTCTAGTCTGCCTGAGATAAGTGAAGTACATACTGAGTGTCTACTGTTTACTGGGAGTAAGTATAAAGGGACCCTATTCCAAGGGGCCAATAGCATGACTATTTTAAACAGCTGCAACAAAAACGTAAGCCTTTCCAAGAGTGGAAAGATAGAGATGTGGCTCAGCTGGAAGAATACTTGCCTAACGTGCACAAGAGCCTATGTTCAATGTCCAACATCACACAATCTGGTGTGGCCGTGCAGGCCTATAATCCTAGGAGTCAGGAAGTAGAGGAAGAGATAATACTCAGCTCCACAGTGAGCTCAAGTGTGATGCGTGTGTGTGTGGTGTGTGCGTATGTGATGTATGTGTGTTGCGTGTGTGTGTGTCATACATGTGTGCATGTGGATATGAAAGAGATTCATGTGTTTGTGTGTGTGATGCATGTGTGTTGTATGTTTGTGTGTGTGCTGATAGGGGTGCATTGAAGATTCAGGATGAACCACTGGAATGTGAGACAATGCTAGAACTGCTTTTAAGCATCCTTAAGCAACAGGAGCTGGTGAGAGGAGGGAGTTATCTTTCTCCCATGTGAGAAAGATAACTATCACACCAAAATCAGGAAAAAGACTGCTTGTTGATATATATTTGGGGGCAGGTAGAGTCTCATGTAGCCCAGGCTGGACTTGAGCTCACGATGGAGGGAAAGCGTGCTCCCTGCCTGGACTTTAAAGAGAATTGAGAACTTCTGTCCTCACAGGCCCTCTAGTAAAAGGCAAGGTGGCCTCCAGAGGAAGGCAGAGGAAGGACTCTAGGAAGAAAAGGGACTTGTGCCAGACAGGTGACCAGGGACACATCTGGCAGGAATATATTCTTATTTTAGGCAAATGACACGATTAATTTGAGGAGCATAAGTCGGGGGGGTGAGAAGCCAAATTACCCACCTCCCTGAGGAAAAGATATCACCACCATATAATAAAGAAAAGAGATGGTTCTGCTAATCTCAGGTTTATATTTATTCATCACCCTGGTTTTCCATTCCACTTGTGTTCTAGGCATGTCAGAGAGCCACAGTACACCCTTGTATTTATTTACATTCCTTGCCAATTTGTTCCTGTTAGTGGGTTTGTCTAGGCCTCATCCCTCTGCGCCCTCCCACATAGCACTGTGAAGGGTGTGTTTTTGCTATGGGCTTCCTTTGGCCTCTCTGGGAGGCTGCCTTATAGTCCAGGAGTTTCTATGTTCCAGGGGCGGGCAGCCTACTGATCCTTTCGGGGACCTAGATCTGAGATGAAGAAAAGCTCACTAATGTGAGCTCTACCTGCTCTTTAGTTACAGGTCTAGATGCAATGGCTGTGACTTTGACTTCAAGAAAAACCTCTGATATTTTCATATCACTTTACTGGTGTCCCAGGAATCTCAAAATCCTATTTACACCTGACCCTGCTTTGAAATCACAGCACATGGCAGGAAGCCCTATCTCTAAATATCCTCGCTGCATGAATTCCTAAGCATGTATATGACTGCATAGCCAGTTTAAAATACTTGGATAACTGTTTCAAAATAGTCAGTTGACTTGGTGTCCTCTGTATTTTATTTTATGCAATTAAAAGCATCCTGAGAGGGTAGGGATGTGGCTTTATTGGTTGAGTGCCTAACTAGCTTGCATGAGGCCCTGGATTCTGTCCTCAGTGCCACATGTATTGGATGACGTGGTAGTGCAGGGCTGTAGTCCCAGGAGGGGGCTCAGAAAGTTCAAAGTCAGCCTCAGCTACATAGGGAGTTTGAGACCAGCCTGGGATCCTATGAAAAGAAAAAAAAGACCAATGGGCTTCAGCAGACTTCCAGAAGGATCCATAGCATAAAAGAAGAAAAAAGAAAAGGGAAAAGAAAAACAGATAAGCAAGAGAAGAGGTGGTAGCATATGCCTTAATCCCAGCACTTAGGAAGCAGAAGCAGGCAGATCTCTGTGAGTTCAAGGCCAGCCTGGTCTACAGAGTGAGTTCCAGGACAGCCAAAGTTACACAGAGAAACCCTGTTTCAAAAAAAAAAAAAGATAAACAAGCCCCTGCTGCAACCTTCCCCTATCTCTTCCCCTCCTCTCCTATCTTTTCCACCCCTATTCTTACCAAGGTTATTTGTTTTTGTTTTGAGGTTTGTTTTGAGGTTTGTTTTGTTTTGTTTTGTTTGGCAAGGCAGGCTCTCTCAAGTTTGAGTCCAGTCAGTATCCTGAGCTGTATGCCTCTGCACACCTGGGTGGGGCCAAGACCCTGTCGCACATTCCACTGAGCATCTGTCACTCAGACCTCTGTTTTTCTGGGGCCTGTAAGATAGTGTCTTCCCAACATGTAGTTTGTTTGTGGTGGACACAGTAGGGACATACCCTTTCCCCTTTGGAAAATAGCTGCAGCTACCCTGAATTCAATTGTCTAAGCCACTTTTTTAGAAACCAAATTCAAAAAAATGTGAGGCTAGGCTGCCAGCGAGGGGACTGTACTCGCTGTGAGTATGTGGCTGTCCATTGTCTGGTCACCCCCACACACAGTGGTTCCAGGCAAGCAACTAAGATGTAGCTGGAAATTACTCACCACAAAATGTAAAGGAACTAGAAGGTACTGTCCCTAGTGTCCCCTCCACTCCCAACCTACCACCACACATACACAGCTATGAAAGGAGCAGGGAGGAGGCCTCTGGTCCAGAGAGAAACCAGGGCAGCAACTTCTGCTTACATGTCATGGTCCCTCCCCCAAGACTGGGGCTCTCCAGGAAGATATCCTTGCAAAGCCTATCCGTTCTAGAAGGGATGCCCCAGGAATAGGACAGCCCTGTCTGCATTTCCTATTAATTTCTCCCCAGTTGCCTTTGTGGAGGCTCTTCTTGCTGAGATTCTGATTATTGGGATTTTTCTGGCTTTGGCAGCATCCTTGCATCCCGCCGTGTGATTCCTCCCAGCTCGAAAATCTCCAGCCTCCCTGAGGACCAGAGGGTGGCCTGGTGTGACTCAGATACCTCCTCATTTAGTATCATTTCAGATGTAATTAGCATGTGATTTGCAAGGGCACCTGCTTGATGGGGATGGAGACAAGTGATAAACCCATTTGGAAGTTCTTGTGCCAGAGAGTGTTCCTGGACCCAATTGTAATCCACCCAAGTTCCCTGAGCTACAGTCAGCTTCAGCCTTCATGTTAGGTTTGCGCGCTTGGTTATAGGTGCAGAGGTGTTCTGAAGGAAGGGAGGATGAAATAAAGGAAGGAAGGGAGGAAGGAAGGAAGGAAGGAAGGAAGGAAGGAAGGAAGGAAGGAAGGAAGGAAGGAAGCCTCAAGGTCAGGTGTAACTAGACTTTGAGTGATTCCCACAATGCACTTGGCCATGGGCTATAAAATGAGAACTGTTAGTTCAAACATGACTCCACTGGCCTCTCTGTGAGTACACTGATTCCCAGAAGGTCTGGGGCAGAGAGAGGGAAATGCTTGCACAGGTGAGGGGCACCTGCCACCTTCCACAGTACTAGACCCATCCCAGGATGAAAGTGATGGCTCTCGTGTTCTCCCCCTTAAAGTGCCAGCTGCCAGTTGGATTGAATTAAATTTTACAAGCTTTCTTTCTTTCTTTCTTTCTTTCTTTCTTTCTTTCTTTCTTTCTTTCTTTCTTCCTTCCTTCCTTCCTTCCTTCCTTCCTTCTTTTCTTTTTTTTTCGATACATGGAATTCACCAGCAAATTACTCTCAAAGAGGGAAAATCAATCATTTGGAGCAGAGATAAGCTGAAGGCAAGGCAGCCTCAGATTGATCCCATCTGTGCAGGCGTGTGTGGAATTCAGTGGATAACCTGGGGCGGCGGGGAGAAGTGTGGGGTGTGCACAGGGGAAAAGAGGAGGAGAAATGGAAGGAAAGAGAGGGTCTTGGCCCCCTGGACCAGAACAGCAAGGGGCTCACTCACCTTCTTGTGGAAACCAGGAGAGTATAAGGCCAAGGAGCTGGTGTATTCAGTGTGTGGCAAAAGACACTTCCTAGTTTGTAGATTCATCTTCTCCCTATGTTCTACATGACAGAAAGGGCAAGGATGGCTCTGGAGTTCCCTCATAAGGACCATCAGAAGCTGGCATCCCATTAAGGAAGAGTCCACCCACACACTCAAGTTACCTCTAAGAACCTCACCCTTCTCTGAAATTAGGGTTTCAACTTGTGCATAGGCTGGGGGCGGGGTGACACTAAGTGTCTACAGTTTCAAACAGGAAGTAAAGGAAAGAAGATGGAGAGGGCAGAGGAAAACAGAGAATGGAGTGGAGAGCAGGATGGAGGGTTGGAGGATGCTTCAGCTGGAGAGCATTCATGTTGTGAGTGTCTAAGAGAAGCCACCAAAGCATACGTACTATGTTACAGCCTGGGAAACTGAGGCACAGAAAAGGTATCTTTCCCAATCATACAGCAATGGGTGGTAGCCCTAAAGAAATCACATTCTCTACTTTAGACCTGGCTGCTTTGAGGCCCAGATTTGAGAAGGCAGGTCTTTGGGTGAGGGGAGAGCCAAAGGCAGGGCAGTAGCCTTGGCTCTGTACAGAGAGA